TAAAGCTGTGTCTGCTGGTGTATCTTGCTTAGACTTAGGCGACTGATGAACCTAAGTTCCACCGCTCGGTAACCATCCGAAATAATACACTATCCATATCTTGATGGTAGACGTCCAAAAACCCATTAGGACAATGCAAGTAATGTTGATTTTGTGAAGGTATGAGCATTCTCGGCACCCGTCTTCCCCTGACTGTTGTAATACTAATTATTTTGGCGTGTGGTTTCTTTTACAGTCGACCATGTTACAATATTTTTTTAGACTTTTTAATTAAAGTCTGGAATGGCTATTAGTAGACCGTCGTTTTCCTGAAGAAAATTCTTCGTAAATCTCCTTCAGATCGGTTTGAACAGAAATTTCTTGTTTGTAAGGATCCTTACAAAGGCGCAGTATTCAATTTCCTCATTTTTACACACACAGTTGTTTGGTCGGCGTTAAATCAAAAAGTACTGATGTAATTATAGTTAATTTTGGTATTTATATAACAATCAGTCACTAAACACGTGACTTATTTAGTAAATTCCCTCCGCAACATTCAATTCCCACCTTTATGCATAGGAAACTATTTTATGTTCTCAGTTATTTAGCGTAATATAGGTATATTGGAAGGGTTAACTCGAACACTAGCAATGTAAGACCCATGTTACAAGTATCTTTTTGAAGAAAGTGAGACGTAAAGAGATAATAATAATGATGATTATTTGATTTCAGTTCTTTTGAATTAATTTCCTTGATAATTTTGAAAATGTTATTGGTCCCTCGCCAAGCTCTTTAGGAAATTGGTTTATGTACCTAAATCATTTTATAATAGTTACAATGTGTGGTAACACAAACATGTAAGTTTAAACTCAATCATTTTAATAGTTGACTCTACATAACCTAATCCTGATACACCAAAAGTCTACCTTTCGACATTTCCGAAATAGTCTTAATTATCCACTGCGTTAATAAAACAATGTCTAAAAAATATTTTTTAAATTAAATTGACTATTTTTCGATTGTAAGCTAAATTAAATAGCTATTTGTTGCTTCTAAAATTTGACCACACTTTTCATAACATTCTATATAAAGACTTTTTTTAGATGTCGGTAAGTCACCGTATTTATAGGACACCCTGTAACTTAGCTGTAATAACAATACCGAACATTTCAATATTAATTGATTCATACAACATTAAACTTCAAATTCAAATTATTTTTAAAACTTGTATTTTTTTTTGTTATATTTTATTTTTTAATATATACTTTTAATTGGTTTTGCTACGAAGGTTTCAACTGACAAGTGGTTGTTTTTTACAGAAGCTGTTTGTGTTTATGGTCAATTGGAAATGTTTTCGTTAAATATTCAGATTCTTGACAATACAGTCAACTACCTCAGACTATTTGCTATTGTTTTAGCTTTAAAACCGCAATTTAATATAATAATAATAATTACATCGGATAATTTGTCGGCCCTTTTTTGACGGTCAGAGGCACAGCTTCTGGGACACAATAAAAAAAAAACAACTATTTTTGTTGTAAGTATGTACGTTTATAACGTTTATTATACATATGAGATTCGGTTTACATTCAAAACGTTGACATTTGAGATTCAGAACCAGATCTGTCGACATTAAAACTGACCGCCAAAAATGAGATGCAATACAACCATCGTTCGGCTACGGCTCAGTCATTTCTTTGCCATTGATGTACCTTAGAGATTTGTAATAATTTATCTCACATTATAAGAATATAAATATTCACTCATGTAACGTTATCATGCTATTCCGAATCTTCAACAAATTGATTTCAAGTCGCCATTTTAAATTCCTAAATATATAAATATGTATCACAAAATAACTCTAATTATAAGTATATAATCACAAAATAAGCAGTACATTTTGTAATAGGTAGCTGTGATAATGTACCTATTTTTACAATCCATTTAATACAATTTTAAATATTTAACACTTGGTTTTATTTTCAATAGTGTAGATTCCTAGGTTTAAAATAATATAAATATATAAATTAATCTTTTTTACTGATTTGATATCTTGATATCAACATTAAATATAAATGATTTGACAATAGCTAGGTATGACGTCACGAAATAGTATTTCATACAAAAATGTACCGCGTCTTGCGTTTTGACGTTTAAAAAAAGATACTGATTTGACTTGACAGTCATCTACCGTATTTAAGAGGGTGTGTGGCTAGCGTAGCTACAGAGTGATGGGGATGAAACCCGGAAAATAAGTAAATTAAAGGAAAATTAAAGGAGATTAGATGGAACTAACAGTTGTTTAAGTATAGATAAAGACAAAGATTTGCAAAAACTGTGTTACACATATTATGTGATGTTTTGTAGTATTTTCCTTTTTATGGTATAAGGGGGCAAACGAGCAGACGGGTCACCTAATGGTAAGCAATTACCGCCGCCCATGGACATTTGCAACTCGAAAGTCACAAGTCCGTTGCCGCCCTTGGAGTCTCTCCCGTTCGAGTCAGCGGAAGGGTGATTTGGGCTCCAGTAACCTCACTCACTCGGTGAAAGGCAACGAAAGAATTGCTTAAAATCGATTTTCTACAGTTGCCCAATCGGGCATTGCAATTATAAAGTACTAATAATAGTTATAAAAAAAATGGGAGAATAGAATAAATTAAGCATGCTAATTGGTCCACTTTTCATAGCGTTCTTAAACATTTTTCTGTCCAATTTATTTATTTCTAGCATAAGCCTATTAAATACTCTTATTATTTATATTGCTGTTAAAGATATTACAAATAAAACGAATAGCCGGCAACCTCCTTTCTAAGGAGAGGCCTATGTCCAGCAGTGGACTATTAAAGGCTGTTGATGTGATCCGGCTAATATCCAGACGGATAGTAAATTTTGAGTGACAGTTTATCTGGCCGCAAAAACTTTACAAGATCAAAGTAGCCTTAATGTCGATCGGTGTACTACAAAATTATTGCCAGAGGTGTTTACTGCTGTCGGGAGCAAGCGACTGAATGTGGAACTCTGCGAACTAGTGGTTCATCACGAAAGTGCGGTGCGCTCATACGACACTCAAAACTATAGATTTCCAGGATAGTTCATTAGGAAATATGTCATCCTTCTTACAATTACCAAAAGAATACAGTTTTAAACGTCAGAAAATGCGCATGCGCATCATCTTATTCAAATCATGAGGCGCATCGAGCAGTGTTCAGTCAGTCAGTCAATCAGTTTAGATAAACTTTGCATCCAAAAGCGATGGAGTGGATTTATTTAAAGATATTAACAAAATGAAAACAAAGGGACTATAGAAATGATTTTTTTAGGTTTTTAGGAAAATTTACCAAACGTGTAAGATAGTTAGTAAATGTTGCGAGAACTATGTGTTAACATTAGTATAATAATAATATATACTTACGTTTTAATTTTGTGGAATACTCTTAAGGTAGTAGTTTCACTATGTTTTCGTTGTTTAGATTGATACATAACACACAGGCTAATTACACGCTTTATATTAGCTTCACTTGTATGTTCGTTTGTATGTTTATAACCGACTTCTTTGGGCGTGATTTTGACTGACTTTTTTTTTCATGATATAGGGGGTCGACCAACAGATTGGTGACCAGACGGTAAGTGACTACCACCATCCATAGTCATATGTAACTAATAGTCACAAGTGCGTTGTCTGTCTGAGTGGGCCCGCCATAATTAGGAGGGGGGAGTGGAGGGGAGACGAAAACAAAATCACTCACTCAGTGAAAGGCAATAAAGGAATGCTTAAAACCGGTTTCTGTGAGGCCTTGGTATTATTCCACATATGCGTGGTATGGAAATATATTAAAAGCGGTAATATAATCACCTGATAATGGCGCTCTACCACTGTGCCCTTTTCAAGACTGTTTTTGCCCCGCACAACTTTTCATGGGCGGCGGTTGTCACTTTAAATCAGGTGACCCGCCTGCCCCCCTCTTCCATAAAAAAAAAGATATTGTGAGAAAGATATCATCAGCCTATCGGTCCACTGCTGGACATAGGCCTCCCCCATTGTACGCTACTTAGATGTATCATCAATAATAAAACTCGAAATCGTCATAATCCATTTATTTATACGTAGAAAAACTAGTCAATCGGTCACAGTATACTATGGAGCTACTTGTCGGAGGGTAGCCCCCACAGCTTCAAGTTGCCGGCGTCCCGCTTCCTCTCGGGCGGTTCCTTGTCCTCGCACGCGAAGGCCACGAGGTACCGCGAGGGGTGCCACGCCACCGTGAACGTCGACGCTTGCACTGGTATCTCCGCCACTTTCTCACCTGTACATTCATACATACTTAAACTCACACCTGCAGCCCTGCAAGGGGTTGACACAGCTGTTTTTTATGGGATATCTGGGTATTTTCAACTTTTTTTATCACATAAGAGCCAAATCAGCTCTTGAAGGTTAGTAATAACCGCTGCCCATGGTCACCTGAAACTCCAAAGTTATAAGCGCGTGGCCGGTCTGTGGGTGGGTACCCTTTTTTTCTTTACCATTTCCAGTTGAGATGACACTCATTGAAGCTTTGGTAAGCTTCAATGAGAGTCAAAATGTAACAGACGGAGACCTAGTGGTCTCCGTCTGGTAGATTTCTATCAAAACGCGTGGAGACCATTTGGAATTGTTTACAGGAAAGTATAGTTAGTGCTGAATCAATGAACATTTTTAAAAACAACAAAACGAACATAAGTGCAGTGATATGCATGCATCAGATCTATGATCTGCTAGTGCATTATCATCATGGGGTGCCATCCTCAAAATGAAGTTTGGAGGTCAGCAGACGGCACACCTCTCGATCATGAGCGGCCTCCTTTAGTTGGCGATATCGCAATCCGGTCCAGGCCACGATGTCATCTATCCAATTCCTTCGTGGTCGACCTGGTGTCCTCCTGCCTGGTATTTTTCCTTCTAACAGAAGCCTTCAGGTATTCATGTTGCGGGTCCCTTTGTATGTGTCCAAAGAAGGCCACCTTCCTTTAGTGCATTATAGAATGCACTAAAGGAAGTGCATTATAGAATAATAATAATAATTAGATGAGTGAACTCTGGCGGAGGCACTTAAAGACCACCAACTTTATCCATTTATCATAAAACAGTATAGCTATTATACGTACCGGTTTCAGTGTCGCCTATATCGATTATGTGGTCTTCGCTGGCGGAAGCGAGGAGACGACCGTCGAAACTGAACGATAGCGTCCGAACGGGCCATTCTAACCTGCCAATGTGACAAATATGGTTTGATCAAACTTACAACAAGCACATGGTATCCGTCTTTATTAAAAATAAAAAAACTACAACAAACATAATCGGTCCAGCTGGCCTATTTGTGTTGAAGCATGGCTACCTCTCTTACGTTTGTTTTGTATCTTCAATGAAACTTAACACCTGTTAAGTAAGTAAGTAAGTGACTAATAAAATACCAGGTACTTATTTAAATAAGTACCTGGTATTTTATTAGTTAATGTGAATGATATTTTAAACAAACAAGAGGTAGATACGCCAACGACGCACAAAACGCGACGGTCCTAATTAGGACCACTGCGAGCGAGTGCACATACTAATTAATTCGATAAAATTCATACCATGCCTTCCTGTGTATTCCCAATGTGCAGAAAATACGACAAAAAGGTAAATAAAGTAATATCATACTACAGGTAAGTGTAAGTTTTGTTCTAAAATATATTAACAGATGTATGTCCGGTTACGGAACAAATATTTTGTGCGTCCAGTATGAATATAGCGTATCTTCCTTAAAATATCATTGGTCACAGTGTAGTTGTACTAATATAAGACCTCACTCTTCCTTGTAAAACCTTTTATACCATCTTTTATCGCAAATAAAGGATATTGTTATTTTTTAAATTACCTAGAGAACACTCTGAGACAGGCTAGCTCATTGACATCCCACAATGACACTAGGGCGTCAGCAGACCCTGTGGCGATGTATCTGCCCGTGGGGTCGTGTTCAATACAGATGCATGTGCCCGGGTGTGCTTTTAATACTGTTTGGAGTTCCAGTGATGGGTACCTGTAACATATTTGCATAACTCAATTATTATCAATAGAAACGGATCAATGATAAATTAATTGAATTTCAAATAGATCTTTTCAGACACATTTTACACTCTGATTAGTTCTGTAAAGCTATACGGTGCTAATTTACATGACTAGGTTTGAGAATCACATGCCAAAACTTAAGAAGGCAGGTCTATATGAACTCGAGCTTTGTAAGTGCCATGTAAAGACCATCCTGGATATCATTCAGGGTGGTCTTTATAAGATGTCTAAGTGAAAAAACTATTTCAATTTATGGCTGACCAGGCACGACACTCAGTCTGTCTGCAAAAGTCAGTTATCGAGTAAGCCAAGGACATCCTAGGGAGCTCTATGACTGGTATACACAATTGTACACAACTGGTATACCTAATTGTACAATTAGGAAAGATAAAGTTAGAAATTACTATCCCAAATAGCATTTTGCTCATAAACCTAATAACTATTATATAAAACTTACAGATTAGACAGTATATTACCGATATATAAAATAAATAACTTTAATAAAAGCTTATAAAAATACACCTAGCTTAGAGTTTAGGAGCAACTTAATGGTAATAAACGTACTTGTATTGCTTGTGGGGGTTTACGTCGGTAGTGTACTAGTAAGGATTTGAACCCACAACCTCTTGATCGAAAGTCCAATGCCCTAACCACTAGGCTACCGCCGCTTGATAATTGTTGTTAATATACATATACTAAGTACAAGTTGGTGTTCAAAGATGAACACCACAATCTTAATATTTGAGTAATTTAAAAAATAATTATTAAGTTCAACACACATCACATCACATCAACAGCCTTTAGTAGTCCACTGCTGGAAAAATTACATTTATGCTAATATAAATGACCAAACTGTTTCCCAGGATAATTACTGCAGTATCTGAAATTCTAGAACATGAAGAATAAAACTCACGATAGTATATGCACACATCCAAGACCATTTGTTAAGTAGAACAAGTCTGAAGTGTTATTCCATGAGATCTCGTTCACTTCAAAATTAAATTGTTCTTCTACTACCTGAAAATAAAAAGCAAATAAGTGTATTTATTAATATTTTTATTATAGTTAGAATTAATATTGATATCCGTGTGGTGATGGATTAAGAATACAGAGTGTCACCACCCCTATTCATCCCGTGGGTGTCGTAAGAGCCGACTAAGGGAAAAACTACGCAGAACAAGAGCACTGCAGAGAGAAGGAAAACTTGATACAAACCCTATACCAACCCAGCATAGCCAGCATATATATGGCCAGCGTGGTATAGTAGGCCAAAACCTCCTTTCTGAGGAGAGGCTTATTTCGAGAAGTGGACTGTTAAAGGCTGCTGATCATCAGATGTGATTGACTTAAAACAAATCTATATATCTGAAACGTATGCTTCAAAAACTCAAAATGTTCTTTGTTTACGTTCAGGTTAGCTTTGTTCTTCATTTCTGATTGATGCAACCACAATTTACCACAGCGAAGCATTGTAGGGTACAGCTAGTGTTTTATTGAACACAACACAAGGATTAAAACTAATTGATTACAACCTTTTTGGTTTATTTAAGTAAATACTTCGACAAATATGGGCCTGTTGGTCGAGCTGTTAGTGACTTTAACTGCTAACCCGGAGCTCGTGGGTTCGATTCCCACCCAGGACAAATATTGTGTGATGAGCACGGTCATTTGTTCTGTGTCTGGGTGTAATTTATCTATAATACGTATGTATTTAACAATATATAAATGTTTATCAACAGTCTGGTTACCATAGTACAGGCTCTGCCTAGTTTGGGATCAGAAAGCCATGTGTGAGATATTATAATTTTTTTTTATTGATTGTTATGTCTTCAATCACTGTTTACACACTACCTTTGATGTTTAGCACAAGAGGAAGAACGTAGAACTTACCACTTTGTAAGTCTTTGTATCTATAAATGAGACCAGATCCTCCTTATTGCCAACGGCTATGGTGCTGCCATTAGGAGACCATGCAATGTTGATATTTTCTCCTTTGGTTGTTATTGTTGCTGCACATTTGTGTGTTCTACAATGTAGGCATAAGATTTATTTTGGTTTGTTTTGAACGTACAATATTTAACAATTGGCTGTTTATAAGGTCAACAAAAGTTAGAACGTATTATTATAGGCTTTTTTTAAACTTCAATATGGAAAATTTATATTATTAATAATTTAGTGATGCAGATGCAAGCAAGATACGGATAAGGAGTATCCGTATCTTGCTTGCACTTTACATAAACAATCAGTCAACATACCTTGTATCCCAAATTCTGACAGATTTATCACCACTGGCTGTGCTCAACAGATCAGAGTGAGAAGCATGCCAACACAGTTGATCTACAGAGCCCGTGTGTCCTCGGAATATAAAATCTTGCACCTGTTATCAAATAATTATAACAATATTCACCAAATGAAAGAATAAAATCGCCGAAAGAAAAACATAACCTCTAAAATGTGTTTATTATAAGCGGCAAAATACTAGATACCAACCAATCTATTTCTTTCCAAATTAAATATAGCAACACTCTTATCAAACGAGCCCGATGCAAGTCGCCTACCATCACAAGACCAACCAACAGAATGTACTTTAGAACTATGAGCTATGTATTCACGAACTACATTGTGTGACAGAAAATAACTGCGTAACTCTGATAGATCCTCTATTGGAGGTTGTGATTGTTTGGGGTCTTTCATTTTACTAATACCAGTTCACTGATAAATAAATTCAATACAAACAATGGAGAACATAAAGTTTATTGTGTTGTGTACCAGGTCAACAAGTGTCAGAACTCAGTGTTTGTGTGTACTGTGTTGTGTTTCAAACGTTTACGTCGAATTGACATATTGACATGACAGTTGATAATACAAAGCGCCCACAGATGACTGTATGTAAAATATACTAAAACAGGTAAATTTTAGCTGATAATTGTAAATACTAATTTTCATGTAAAAGAGATCCATGGATGACTGTTGGTTCAAGGTCTTTTAAACGAGTATTAATTAATATTGTTAATTGTTAAGTTATCGGCATTATCAGATTAAGGTATTACATGATAACTGGGCGGAGGGGCGGACCTACAAAACTATTTACAAAGCCTGCATGGAGGTGAATGACGGCAAAAGTTCTAAAATACTGGATGTAAGCGGGGTCAACGTCAACCTCAACTGCACGTGGTGCACCCTGCCGAACAGCGGACGAGGCTTATGCGACCGAATCGTGGCTGTATAACCACACCACTGCAGGAATCACTAAATATCGTTACTAATAAAAGCAGCAGCGTCACCAAATAAATGATTCTTGCCACTACGGTCACCAATACGCCTGCCAAGCGTGGTGACTATGGCAAGTTCCCCCTTCTTCAAGGCGAGTGAGACTTGGTGTGAACATTGGTAAGACCAAGATCATGTATAATAGGCATGCATCCCCGAGTGCCGTGACCGTAAAAGCCGCTACTGTCGAGGTTGTGCAAGAATACGTCTATCTTGGCTAAACTATCCAACTCGGCTGGCGCAACTGCGGTCGATAGAAGAATTCGTTTGGGCTGGGCGACATATGGGAAGCTGCGTCATATCTTTGAGTGGCCGATCCCCCTATCGAAAAAACCAAGGCATGTGACCAGTGCGTCCTACCCGTAATTACATACGGAGCCTAGACGTGGTCACTCCGTGGGACTGGTCCACAAGGTTGGTTGCTCAACTTGCGATGGTGGTCGCTGGAGCCGATGTGCTTGAGTGGAGGCCGTGATTAGGTAAACGTTGTGTGAGGCGCCCAGCGGCACGATGGACCGACGCCTTGAGGAACATGGCAAGCAGCAGATGAATGGAAATTGCCCAAGACCGGGATGATTGGCGCTCCTTGTAGTAGAGGAACCCTAGAAGGGATTTCGGGATTTACTCGAGGGATTAACACGGGTAATAAACGGATTTTTATATACGAAAATAATTATAATTGAATTTAAAAACTCATTGTGCGTGCATTTTAATTCAAATAATATTCAAATAAGAGACGGCATAAAGGAACACAGGTTTAGTAAATTATAAAAAGTGGGCAGGTCAGGAATTAGCATATGAAATAATTACAAGTAGGCATCGAAGGATTGTCCAGCTGTGGACAAGCATAGGCTGAGGTGATGATGATGATGATGATGATCGAAGGAAAGTTGGCATTGACGGTCGAACTGCATTCAAGTACGTTGCTGGTACATTCATAACATGGGTGTCCTGGTGCTCCTGTTAGTAGGAGTAATTAGTAGCAGCACGAGAGAGCAGCAGCCATTCTGACCCACACTTCAGTTGGGATCCTTATCTATCCGTCACGCACAAAACACGCTCAGTAGCTGTCGAGTTTCGGAGTTTAACTGTCTACAATGTAAATATCATTCTCGGCCAATGTACATATTCGTAGATATGCAGTAGGTAGTAAAAAAAGACATTTCACAACATAATTTATTTAGCAATAATAATCAAAAGGTTTTATTTCATTGTATGGAGTACGTAGTACTATGTGATGTATCGTCGTCTCCAAATCTTCAAATTAGTGTGGGAATAGAAAAGCGGAACAAACCACACTACGTACATGAAGAGAATATGCAGAACTTTTTCCTGAAACAGAGAGATTACATTTTTCCAATAGATGCTAATGCAAAATTAGTAATGAATATTTTTACTCGGTAGGCAATAGGGCGAAAGTAAAGAGGCCAAAACCTCGTTTCTAATGAGGCCTCAAGCAGTGGACTATTAAAGGCTATTATTATAGATGATGATAATAATGATGAAGGAGGCCAGCGATAAGTTAGTTTTTTTTATTCGATATAGCCTAACGACACAGGTTTTCATCTTCTCGAGGTGAACATGCTGTTCATAAAGTTTCCAGAAGACTTACAAAAAGAAAAACCTCTACAACAAGATAAGGATCAAAGGTTCTTAGAAATGCGGGAAGGTATCAAGTTGCATTTCACAAGTATATAAACCCTGAAAACGTTAGTGAAACGTTCTCACACTCCTTTTGGGCAGATCATAGAAATCTTCAAATCGTAAAGAAATCGATTCCCGAGATCAACGAAGAATCTGCATAAAATTTTGTTTGCTTTTTGTCGGCGTGTTACTGGAGGGTCTGGAAACAGCTGTTATTAAGACATCCGGATCCAGGCAAATGCGAATGTTACCTGTGAGTGGTGCCACTCTCGGCCACACCCTGGAGGGCATGAAGCGCTGGAATGCGCACCTACACCACTGTGTTCGCAGGCGTCGAATTAGGTTCGAGTGGAGACTTTCCTCCTCAGAAGGCCTCGGGGAAGGATACGCCTGCAGTAAAACATCTGTCGCTACCGGCCATGGAGCATATGTCGCCTGGTAGTGAGAGATACTCTCCGATGACTGCAGTGAGGATCCGACGCTTCACTACCTAAACAAGGCAAATGGGAGCGTGTGCCTAGTCGAGTTCCCTCTGCAGATGCACTGGTGACAGACAGGACTCAATTCTCTTGTAGTGACCGAGTGCAGGTACTTATCGAAGCAGCCATGCCCGGAAAAGACCTTTGTCAGTCGGAAGGTAAGGGTCTCGTGCTGTTGACCCACCTACTCGACGATAGCTTATTGTAGCGTCTCAACAGCAACAAAGACAGCACGTGGAGCATCCTGCGGCGTGGACGACCAATGAACCATTGTGGACCGGCGAGAGGCCTCACGTACCTAACACGCTAACCTCTTGATAATTGACCAAATCAAGTGTATCAGAACTGCTACAATATAAGATAAAATTGTGTTTAACACCGGTTTTCCGTGAGGCCATGGTATTACTCTGGTCTACCAGGCCCATATGAGACGAAGCATGCCTCGTACGTGCCACTGCTCGTACAATTTGAAAAAAAGCTAAGTCACTTACTCCCCAGCTAACTTTGACCCTTGGCGGCGTACAAACTATTTGACCAACTTGGGCCCAGTTACGTTTAATAACAAGATTTGGCAGCAAAGCATTTCTTAATAAATTCCAGCTCCGATTCATTATCATTTCGCATTTGTGTTTTCTTTCAACAATCACAAATGTTATACATAATACAACTAAAACAAATTCCAAAGTATTTGACATGAGTGGTATTCTTTTATTGAATATCGTCGTCCAACACTATGAAGGCTAGTATTTTCAAATGACCTACTTAGTGGGGTCGTTCAGAGTGAACACTTTTTGTACGCGTTGTGCATACTGCTAAATAATTTCAATGTTGGTGGAGATAACTCTTTTATTGCATAGGGGCAACAAGCAGACGAGTCTCTTAAGGGGACACCTGCAACTCAGCTAGATTAGAATCTGAATAGTACCTACTCAGTGCGAAATAATCATTTTGTGAAGACCAGCATCATTTGTTGTGTCCGGGTGTAATGTATTAAAAAAAAACAACATTAATAAATTAGTCGATAGGAGGTATTGTTCGATTTATGTTGTGTGAAATTTTCCGTCGTCGTTTATTATGAGATATTTATTTTAGAATCTTTTTGCATCGCAAAACCAATTAATACCTATAACAAATTGTCACCTGCAATATTTGCGGACCGATACGATCTTGAAACCTTTAATAAAGGAGCGTGTTCTCAGCTCAAAGGTCGGCATCACTCTCTGTACAAATTTCCAACCGCCTAAGCCAGCCTTGGAAACACTTTTTGGTATTGGTATTGGTATTGGTTGTGGGCTTCGGTTTCCGCATTTAGACTCAGAGTGGTCCTTTATGCGTCGAGGATTGGTTGACTAGGTGAGCTAGCCAAGCTCCTTCCAGAAGCGCAGAAGCCTCCTGGGGCGTTCACAGGCTTCTAGGAGCGACTTTGTATCAGGAATGATACTTGCCCGTTGTGTGGCCACTCCCTCGCATTCCAGGACTACGATGACGGCCGTTTCTTCAGCTTCCAGACATCCCCTGCACAGGGGACTGTCCGTCGCATTGATTATGAATAGTTGTCGGTTCAGGGCTAGATGTCCTGTAATAGTTCCGACAACCGTTCTGATTTCCGGTCTGCTAAGACTGATCAGTCTGCAGGTGAGTCGTGGTGTGACTTGATTCAGCACCAGTTTGGACTGTCTGCAGCCGGGTGAGTTTTTCCACCTCCGGTTGTGTGCTTCACAGGTCCGTTGCCTGACCCAGCATCGTATTTGGTTAAACGATATGGGCAGGAGTGGGGTTGGGCCAGAGGTACGGGTTGCCGAGCCCCTCCTTGCCAACTCATCTGCGGCATCGTTCCCGTGTGAGTTACTGTGCCCTTTAATCCATTGGAGGATTACCCCATTGAATATAGCGAGCTGTTCCAGTGCTTGGTGGCATTCGAAGACAATACCAGAGGTCATTGTGTTGCCCTCCAATGCCTTTAAGACGGCCATGCTGTCGGATATTATTCGGATGTTGTAGTCCTTAATACCCCTTGAAATGGCCGTTGTGGCAGCGTAAGTTATTGCCACACATTCACATTGAAATATGGAACTGTGTTGGCCTAACGCTAGTGATATGTTTATGTTTAGGTCTTGCGAGAAAACTCTGGCTCCAGTTCCTGACCTTGTCTTGGAACCGTCCGTGTAAATTCGGACTTCGTTAATGCCGGATTGATCTCGGTCATTTCCATGTATCTGGATGTAGTATCTTCTTGTGAAGATATGGTGTTTTGGGATTCTATCGCATGGCGCTGCTATCAGTGGTTCGTATTCCACCAATTGATCCCATAATTTAGAGTGCGATCCCCCACGTTTGTGCCATAGACCCAGGTGTTTGAGTCTAATGATCGCCATGGCGGCCTCCTGCTGTATGAATAGATCCAGGGGTGGCAGACCAAGAGCCACCTCCAGTGCGGCAGTAGGCGTTGTGCGCATACAGCCAGTGACCGCGGAGCATGGGAGTCGCTGGAATTGCTGCAGATTGTTTATGACAGTGCTTAGCTCTGTTCTCTGCCACCAGACAACAGCACCGTAAGTGATTATTGGTCTTATGACTGTTCTGTATAGCCATAAAGTAATTTTGGGTGATAGTCCCCAGCTTTTGCCGAGTAGCCGCTTGCATTGGCAGAAAATAATGCAGGCTTTATTCAGTTTTTCATCGAGGTGCTTGTTCCACAGGAGTTTACTGTCCAGTATTACTCCTAGGTATTTGACCTCTTTGGTAAGAGTAAGTTGTGTTCCAAATAGCTTGGGAAGTCTGAGATTTCCTAGGCTGCGTTTGTTTGTGAACATGATCATCTCTGTTTTGGATGGGTTCACTGTCAGGTTGTGTGCTACGCACCATTGTTCCACGATCTTCAGTGCAAGTCTCATTTGATCGCATGTAATGCTCTCAAAAGGACCGCTGATGAGAATAGTAAGATCGTCTGCATAGCCTATTGTGAGGAATCTTTGGTCATTAAGTTGTGTGATGAGCTCATCCACAACAATGTTCCATAGAAGGGGGGAGAGTACACCGCCCTGGGGGCAGCCTCTAGCCACCACTCCTCTAGTCACTTCGCTCACAGTGAATTGTATAGCTCTATATCTTAGCATGCTGTCGATCCACCCTGAGATTGTGGAATCAACACCATGCCTAGACAGAGCTTGGCTAATGCTGGTGAAGTTGGTCTTGTCAAAGGCTCCCTCGATATCGATAAAGGTGGCCAGTGTTGACCTTTTATGATTTAGATTGTCTTCTATATATGAAACAACTCGATGTAGGGCAGATTCTGTTGATTTACCCATCGAGTATGCGTGTTGATTGAGGTGTAGAGGGTGACTGACTAACGCAGTTTCCCTGATTTCCCAATCTATTAGCCTCTCGAGAACCTTTAGTAGGAAAGATGTGAGACTAATAGGTCGGTGTGATTTGGGTTGTGTGTAGTCGCCTTTACCAGGTTTGGGGATGAAGACTACTTTAACAGTATGCTTTTGACTCTATTAGCCTGGTTGTTGTTCTCTATGTTAGTACAGAAGTTTCTCCAGCACTCAGTTTTCCTGGTTCTGATTCTCTTCTTATATTGTTGTCGGGCCTGCGTGTAGGCATCCCAATGTTGGTCTAATCGCTAGTTTTTTTTGCTTTATTGAACAACTTTCTCACTCTACGACGTAGTCTTTCCAGTTCCGGACCCCACCATTGGTGTTTGTTCTGTGGTCCAGTTCTGGGTGTGGAAAGTGGGCATGTTTGTTCAAAGCAATCGATCAGTGTCTGTGTAAGGTTGACGACATGACTGTCAATGTCCTTAACAGTCCCCGTAGCGTATGTTGGGTTGATGCTTCGCAGATTCTCCGCAGTAAGATGTTCATACCGTTTCCGGTCCATCGTGTGGGGATTCCGTCGGGGATCTGGTAGTTTAAGTTTCATTTCAAAGTTAAATTTAATACAGCGATGGTCTGAGCACGATGCTTCGTTCGAAACATGCCAATTCGATATGTGTTGCGATGCGTGCTCACTTGCTAATGTAAGATCAATTATAGTTTAGGCCCTGGATGTGACAAATGTCGGCTCCGAGCCCACGTTGATAATGTTAAGGTTAGTTGATAATAGGAACGATACAAATTCCTCACCTCTCTGGTTGTTGCTCCTGCTGCCCCACAGCGCATGGTGCGCGTTGGTGTCGGCAGAGATGATCAGCTCCAGACCCTCGCGCTCGCAGTGGTGTGCCATCGCAGCCAGCTCCGGAGTGGGGATGTCAGCATCGCCCGGCAAGTAGGCTGATGCTATCACCACGTCAGGCAGGTTTGATGAGGGTTCCTTTAACCTAATAAAGGTAAGGTCTCTGGAACAGAACTCGGTCATTAAGGTAGTACACGCATGTTTTGGTGTATAAATACAAGTGCGCGGGTTATTAATGGTAGTGTTGAGAAGTATCTTACCTCCAATATTGTTTAGACCGCAGATCCTGCCCTTCCTAATCCACGGCTCCTGGATTAGGGCTACGGTGTTGGTTTTTACCTCCAGCTCTCTGCGTAGGTTAGCCGTTGCTGTATGGCTGTGCTGGAGGTTGGTTTGGATGGCTGTAAGGGTGTTATGGGGGGGGTGCAGACAGCGCCATCATCGCTGTTCAGCATATCCTCTATGTCGTCGAGGTCACTCTCGCCCACCGGTAGGTCCTCCAACTCCTCAGGAGGTGGACCCCAGCAGGCTGTCTCCTCAACGGGTATCAGAGGATCCCCTCCATTGCCGTCCCTAGGGTGTTGTGGGGCCGATTCTGGCTCCTCGTCTGGGTTAGTTGGTGGGGCGGGACGTTCATCAAGGAAGCGAACGTAGAGGTTACCTAGTTTGTAGTATACTCTACGCTCGCTAGCCTTGAGCTTCACGACGTCCTCTTCTGGGATGCCGAGCACTAGGAAGAGACATTTCTTTTCCTCCTGCGCCTCGGCATGGTAGAGGGCCCAGTTGGCCACATTGTACTGGCTGTTCTGGTACTTTAGCCTTGTTTGTATACGGACCAGTGTATCATCTGGTCCGATTTGTGGTACCAGGAGTCCAGCCTTGATCCTTTTCGGGATCTCAGACTGCCTCCTGACGACCAGTTTGGTGCCTTCACGTGGTGATGGGATCCTTACCAGGGATCGGCGAAGCCACTGTAGGGCATATTCGTCGTTGCACCACATCTTAAGGGCGCCCTCACTGTAGAAGGCCTTGCCCCTAAACTGTGGCGCAGCGGGTGCGCTTGACGTGCCGGGCGAGAAAATCTCCTCATCTAGCACGCCCTGCAGCTGGCCCTCGATGTCCTCTGCCTGTGCCTTGGTGAGGTCGTGGTAAGGCTCCAGCATGACCGCGACGCAAAGGTCATTCGCCTTTAGTGCGTCGGAGTAGCTCGTGGAGCCGGTCTTTGACAGCGGTTTGAATCGCTTGCCACTGCCCTGGGGAGTGCGAGACTCGTCCGGGCGAGTTCTTTTGACGGGCTTTGTTTCACTTGAAGGTTTCCCTCCACGTGTCGCTCGTCTCGCCCGTTTACCCTGTCCAGGTTGACCCTGCCTAGAGGGTACTTTGGCCGCTACAGGCGTCTTGGCAGGTGGCGCCCCCACAGGAGTACACTTCCCCGTGGCTTGACTTTCGTCTTCGCCTCGGGGCAGCACGTCACTGGCGGGGGCAACGTGGGCCCCTTCGGGCCCTTCAGCGACTTCAAGCCGCTTACTTCCACCCGAGGTCAGACACCGTGCTTGCCTTTCCACTCGGGCTTTCGCCCTGTTGGCGTTACGGGTCTTCTTGGACGGGTTTGGTTTTTTCGACGCTCTCTTCTTTGTCCTTACCAGGCTCCAGCCGGTTTCTTCCAGGCCGGGTCCCGCAGGTACGGGCATTGCTGCCCTCAAAGAGGAGAGGTCGATGGTCGACACTGGCTCCGTATTCTGTTTAGACACCAGAGGTGTCGCCAGAGTCGTGGATGGCGCTGCGGTCGGGTTGTTAGCCTGAGCAGCAGCCAAAGGTGTATTTGTCGGGTTCACCCTTGGGTTGTTCACCCTGGGGTCAGCCGATTGGTTGTTTAGCCTGGCACTTGGGTTGCTCACCCTCGGTACCGGCTTGGTGGTTTTTTAAAATTGGTTTTTTTAGTATCCATAGTGTGTTAGGTATACTATTCATCTCCTTGTCCTTCCACCCTCCTTGGAGCCCTCAAGTGGGGACAACATTAATAAATTAGTCGATAGGAGGTATTGTTCGATTTATGTTGTGTGAAATTTTCCGTCGTCGTTTATTATGAGATATTTATTTTAGAATCTTTTTGCATCGCAAAACCAATTAATACCTATAACAAATTGTCACCTGCAATATTTGCGGACCGATACGATCTTGAAACCTTTAATAAAGGAGCGTGTTCTCAGCTCAAAGGTCGGCATCACTCTCTGTACAAATTTCCAACCGCCTAAGCCAGCCTTGGAAACACTTATTCCACTGGTTAAAAATAGTTGCTTCGAAGTCTGTCACCGCTTCTTCGGCACTCGAAAAAAAAATGCCTTTTATCTTTTATGGTGGGAAAAAAAAGAAGCCACAATAATCTAAGTCGTGGCTTTAAGGTGGGTGAGGTAGGGTTTCAATACCCAATTCTTGAATAAACGCGTTTTTTGAGGGAAGAGAATGAAGACCCATTGTCGTGGTGAAGCATTATTCCCCGAAGCCCGGTCTTTGGTCGTCTCTCCGCACAGCTTTGAAAACTTTTGGCAATGCGACTGTAGTGTGTGATTCTAATTATCGAGTATTGATGTTGCAAGATGTCCACTCCGTGAAAAAAAACTGGCTACCATTTTTTTTGTTGGAAACTGGCCCTCTGGAAACTCATACCCATACGAGGAACGCTTCTTGCTTTCCAGATCCTATTGATATTGCCATGTTTCGTCGCCAGTAATGATTTCAGAAACACGTCTCGACCTTCCATTTTCAAAACGTAGACGCATCTCACGGCACAATTCCACACGGGCTTCTTTTTGCGTTTCGGAGAGCAAACGACATCCAACTCCAACAAAGCTTCCTCATTCTAAGATGTTTATGTAATATGGTGTGAACACTAACCGAACAGATGCCTTGGATTTTCTGTATGTTCCTGTATATAATTCGTGGGTCATCTCGCACAAACATTTCAGTAGTCCACACATTTTCACCAGAAGACAGAAGTGGACGCCCGCCAACAGCAGTCGTTGGCGGGCGTCCACTTCTGTCATCATCTTCAAGGCTAGTTTTCCCCCTTTTAAAATTATTGCCCGAGCTCAGCTTAAACCTTCAGATAAACCACATTTAAAGCCGTAATATATCATAGCACGCCAATGTTCTTGTTTAAGCAGCAGACATGGTAGCAGACGAAAAAGCGGGCAATGATGACAGTATAATTTTACTTCTAATTTGGTTGTTATTGCTGTAAATGCGTTCCATTTTCAAATTTCGAGCATCTCAAAACTAATATGGTGACCTACGTATATGATCAATAAAACAACTGTTATACTTACTGTTCAGCAATTTCGGTAGGATCCATTATTATTTGTCTGACCACATCTAGCCTTGTAATGTAGTCTTTTGGTACATTTAACTTGTTTTTATGAATAATATTCCAGCTGTTTTATGAGACCTTTTTGTGAGATTGTGTTTTTTTAAATCTTGAGTATGTTTTAAAGTTTATTTTATTAATTTAGGTTTGGTCTTTCTATATTTCCCTGAAAACCACCTCTTACGTTTCGATCACAGTTTAACCCCTTTACTGATCCACTTTTGCCGTTGACTTAGAGTTTTTTATGTTTTGCTATTAGGAAGCATACACTATAATAATTATTATGTATATATCACACAGACATATACTCTGTCATATTGTAGAAAAAATTCATCATTTCATCATTCTGTCATATTATAAATTACGCCCAGACACAGAGCAACCGACCGTGCTTATTACACAATATTTGTCCTGAGTAGGAATCGAACCCACGACCTCCTCCTCCTCCTTCGGAGCAGGAAGGAAACATCCGGGTTTCCACACAGGAGGGGTCATCTATAAGCCGTAGATGGCCCGAAGTACGTCGGGGTACCAGGGCTTTCCTTTCTAGGGTATACCTGGTTCCCCGGCTACTGGTACCTAGACAGGTAGACCTAGACCTTTTGGTCGGTTCGAACCGACCAAAAACCGCACGCCGCGTCGGACTCGAAGCGAGTCCGACATAATCACCCACTGGTGGGTGGTGTCCGAGGGGTTTCGCACAGAAAAAAAAAGGAGACATAATAAGTGGTAGAAATCACGAAATGCTGTTGCTGGATAATGTTTACGGTATATCTCACATCAAGATGTTATTTTTTCTCTCTGTACTCTGGTGTACTGTGGAAATGGTTTTAATTGGACTGGTTATTAGCTGTGCTACATGGTCTGACAGAGCGAAGTCAAGTATACCATGAATTATATGATTATACAAGGTAATTTAAGTTGATTATAGACGCTTAACCTTGAGCGAGTGAGGCTACCTTACTTTGGAAAATTTCTCTTAACGGAAAAAGGAAAACTTCCAGGAATTTTGTACAATGTAAGGCAAAGTAAATTATTATAAAATTAACCAGGATTAAAAACCTTAAAAAAGAAAAAGAAATAAAAAAAATTTAATACTGGCCTCTTAAATTTGTATGTTCGAAATAAAGAAATATTTGTGTCAATTTAAAAAAAAAAACATAAATTCTCTAGGCCGTCATACTGTCTGACGATTTCTGTAGTCATTTGAAGTTGAAACTTCATTAATTGAATCAGAAGCGACTAGGAGAACAGTAACAAGTACGAAATGTTAACGAATCATTGCGGGAAGTTACTAAAAGCGGCTGTACTGCCAAATGTCGCTTTCAACCGAAATCTGGTCAAATCGGTTACGGTCATTTCAAAACCTCCAATTGTTCCAATGAAAGTGTCTTATAAAGTAAGTAGCCAGTTTGATTGACAATATGATGATGAATCCATTTGCAGGCGTTCAAGCGAAATGTTGAAAACAGACCAGATGGTATATCCTTACTGCCAGCCATGAAAGATATCTTGGTGATTAGTACGCCTTTGGTATTAGACGTAATATACAGGTAGTTGTTGCGGTGCTACTGCTGCATTCGCAGAGAGAGGTGCTCTCAAACTGAGATGATACGACAAATTGTATCTTTTACCATATCTTTTACTTTTACTTTGGTCGCGTATCTACCTCCTTATCGTATCTCCTCCTACCTTGTTTGTATATAATATCATTGGGGGTTAAGGAGCAGAGTCCTTACCTGATAAAAAGTGATCCGTCCGCTTTTTTGGCATTTTTTAATGTCTGAAATTGGACGGTCACTGCTAAACTTAACTAGATTATTCGATTGCACTTGCTGTCACAAAATCTCAAAATTGATAGACTTCTGTGGTACATTTTTTTTTAATTCTTGGCATATTGTACGTTCTACGTTACGTAAATAACGCCAGCCCCTCTGTTAAACTGGCTCAATTCGAATGACAACTTCCTTTACAACCAACAAATTATATTGTTTCAGGAGATGATGCAGATGGGTGCGGTAATCGTGGCATTATGGATCACCCCAATGGCATTTTACACTTCGCAGTTATCAATTTGAAGGCAAAGACTACATTATCATATGAAAGCTAAATGAAAATACTGAAATGATTTATTTTGTCATTAAATGTAGTGTCATAAAAATGGTTTAAATTATTTCCAAAACTATTCTTAACAAATGGTTTGACTAGATTAAGATATTTCGTCTCATAGGAAAGTTGTCTTGATTTGAGACGAATATGTTTAGGCCTAGATTCCGGAAGACGGAGCGTAGCGGGTAGGCACACAAGAAGATCCAAGACCTGGTGATTGTCGCGGGAAGCCGTTAGGTGCGTGCAGAAGCAGCAGCAGTTGTGGCGAACCTTGGGGGAGGCCCATGTCCAGCAGTCGTCTTTCGGCTGGGACGATGTTTAACTTGTTTTAACTCTTGTTTAAGTCTAGAAATCGCGTTGCTACAGCAAAATACGTTCTGTTGACAACTACTTATACTTTCAGTTGAACATTATTTACACAGTAAGCATGTAATCATTGTTTATTAAACCCTTTACGCTACTAGCAGGAAATGGGACGTTTTTAAATCTATTAAAAACATATATAATAAAGTTTAATTCCCTGGATTCAAAATTCAATTATTTTACGTCGAAACTAAACAAAACGTTTTATTGCACATAAAGTAGCAGGAGGTTAAATTGCAAGCCATCAGTTCCGAGTTTAAATAAACAGGAATGACAGATTCTGACGTGGCAGTTATTAATCTGTCAAGCGAAAATAGAGTAATAAACCAATTTCTTGGTCGATAATACCTGTTACAAGCCTTTTGCTTTTATTTACGCCTGGAAACCCCCCTCGGGCCGTCACCCAACGAAGACGGCCTTTCGCAGAAGGATGCGACCGCGATGAAACATCTGTCACTACCGGCCATGGAGCGTACTCGTATGACGCCGGTAGCGAGAGATCCCCTCCGATGACTGCAATGAGGACCCGGCGATGAAGCCGGGCAAATTGCCAGCGTGTGCTGAGCAGAGACCTTACTGCAATCGCAGTGGTGATAGGGAGGACTCAATTCTCTCCTAGCGACCGAGTGCGCAGGTACTTCCCGAAGCAGCCGTGCCCAGAAAGGACCTGCGGCACCCGGAAGGGTCCCATGCTGCCGCCCTGACCACTAGACGATGACCGGCTTTGCCGCCTCCACGGCGGCAAAGCCAGCACGTGGAGCCCCCAGCCGGGACGGAATAGATGGCCAATTCGAGCCTGTAAGATTAGTCAGTTGAGTCAATTGCATACACTTGTGTGTATTTAAACAAATCTGACGATTTGAGTATGACATAAAGCACAAACACAAACTTCCGAAAAAAAACTTGAAGACCAACTGACTAAACTTGAGTTTTTTATTTTGTAGCAAACAATGCAAAATGCAAGATATTATTTCATACCTTTGTTACATTTCATAAAAAAAATCAAAATATTTCTAACCGTCAGATTTAAAGCTATGTGAGGAACATCGAGCTGAACCGTCTTATAAAATCTAACACGCTCGGGTATTTTGAAATAGCGATAATTCGCTACGAACTTGTCACTTTCAATGCGATCATTTTTGGCGTCCAAACAACATATCCCGCCTGATGCGCCTGAATTTTTTTTTTCGATATCCAACCCCTTATCTTTCAAATGCGATAGGTGCCCATGACGCTCGAGTAAATCCATATTTAGCAACATGGGCCTACTATTAAGTGCACTTCAGATATCTAAATATTTCGACATTATCATTATTATTGATTTCAATAAATGATTAATATTTAATTATTAATAACTAGCTTTTGGCCGCGGCTCCGCCCGCGTGTGTCGGTTATCGTGGTAAAAAGCGTGTCGTTTATCAAGAATCAAACCAATATTCCCATTCACCATCTTTTCCCTCTAGAACCAGAGGGAGGTAGGGTTTGGGCTCCGGTAACCTCACTCGGTAAAAAGCAACGAATGAATTACTTAAAACCTGTTTTGTGGGAGGCCGTAGTATCACTGAGGTTGAAAACTCTTGTGATTGAATATCATCATCATCACACACAATTCCTGCCAATTTAAAACAATTAGTATAACAAACAATTTATTGTGGATAACAGACAATTTATCGAATGAGATTTATCGTTTCTGAAGCCCTTCATGATTATCTTCTACGCTGTGAATTCTGGCTTCCAAACACCTAGCTGTGTAGTCGAGAATGCTATCGGGGCGACCCACAGAGTAATCATGAACGCACCGAGCAGAACTCGTTCCTGAAACAAAATTGTACATTTTCTTTACTTCAGTGTCCAAAGCGCTTTAAAGTGTTAAGGTAGATTTTAACATAGGCATATAGCAACAAATCTTAAAAGGACAAATTTTCGATTGAATCTGAGGAGATGGTGAATAGATCAACAAGATGACTAGGTAGTTGAAGAACACTCTTTAGGGAGGTGACTAGCCCAACTCCTGTAGGAGGATTGACGCCATTGAAATAAGAGTATGTAAAACCGGGATAGTTGACGTTCCTTGGGGGAAGGCTTCGTTCAGCGGATGACAGCGATAGGCTGATGACGAAATAAATGTTTGACAGCAGTCTGGTCACCATTTTTTTTTTAACGTCTGGAATCCCCCTGGGGCCGTCACCCCACCGGGGTTTGCGGCGGGGCGGTGTGTGGGAATCGAACCGAACTCAACCTAAAACCACATGGTGTGCCACTTCGCGCCTGAGATATGAGGGGTCCGGCAACAGCTGATATTAAGACATGGACCGGACCCAAAATCAGCACGTGTAGCCCCCAACAGGGACGTCCAACGAGCCATTGTGGCTCGGCGGGTGGTCTCACGCCACTCTCGTACCTTTTTGGGAGAGGGCCGAGCACTTTTGCCTCCAAATCCCACGGGTTCCGGCCAACGCGTACCTACATCACCTCCGTCGACACGGTGCGGTAACTGCTTACAGCTCTAACTGCCAATATTCTTTGAGGGCGCCCTATTCTGGTCGGTCAGAGACGCCGCCCACACCGGTGCACCGTAGAGCGCCATTGACCAGACAACTCCTCCTCCTGTCGCGACGCTGGTTCCAACAAAATTGGGCAAAAGTGGGCCCCAGGGCAGAAGCAACCCCGACCAGCTTTGGAGCAAGCTGTCGGAAGTGCTCGTCGAAGAGCATCCTCCCGTCGAGAATCAAGCCCAGATATTTCATTTGGGCCTGAATCGGTACGAGGACCGAGTTGACAACGATAGAGGCGCCAGGGGGAGGACCACGATGCGGCCCATTAAACAAGAGGGCCTCCGTCTTATCCAGGGCCACCCGTAAGTCTAACGCCTCAATGCGCCCGACCACAAGTGACTCCCCTGGTCAGGCGCGCCGCCTCTTGAAAGTTCACCCCCGAATGCTTCAGATGAATATAAAATAAACAGGTTTGTGTTACGTTCCCACAGACTTCATGAAGATCTGGGCTAGTTTCTGGCGTTATTTTAAGTACTATCAAGTTTACCTTCAAATCAATATTGACGTTGAATGCGGGGAATGGAATCGCCGAGCCTGTTTGGGATAATTTACTGTTAAAAGCTACTTTGGGCAACGCAGTCGCCCTAAGTAACAGTAAGTACAGATTATGTGGTAGGCGAAATGGAAAATGGTGGCCAGGTTGACGTGGTCTACACAGATTTTGAAAAGGCCTTCGACCGTGTAGACCACGGCATCCTGTTACGTAAGCTGTACGCGTTAGGTATTCACGGTGACCTACTTAGGTGGGTTGAATCGTATCTAACTAATCGCTCTCAGGCTGTTGTATTGGGTGGGTTTAAGTCTGACTTTGTATCTATTCCCTCTGGCGTTCCCCAGGGATCGCACCTTGGCCCTCTCTTCTATAACGCCTATATTTTTGACATAATTAACCACATCAAGCACTCACATTACATACTCTACGCTGATGACAAAAAGATTTACACATCCATCAACTCCTTATCTGACTGTGTCTTGCTTCAAGAGGATCTTGACTCTTTATTCAGGTACTACGCTAAAAATAATATCACGGTTAGCATCAAAAAATGTCAAAGTATATCCTTTACCCGTAAAAGATATCCTATCATTTACCAATACAGTTTTAACGGCGTTGCAATCGAGAGGGTCAAGGTTGTGCGAGACCTGGGTATACTCTTGGACTCGGAGATGTCCATGCGGCAGCACATTGATGCTATATGCAGCAGATCATTTCGCAATCTCGGTTTTGTCCTAAGATCTTGCCTACCTTTCAAGAGTTTGTTGAGCTTAAGTGTTGTTTATATTGCTTTTGTTCGTAGTTTACTGGAATACGGTTGTCAGATATGGTCTCCCTGTTATGCGATACACAAAGGCAGTCTGGAGCGCATCCAGAAAAAGTTTATAGATCACCTTAATTTTAAATTTCGTCACAGCTTTCATGATTACAGAGAAAATTGTCGTATTTACAATCTACTAACTCTCGAGGAAAGGCGTATTCTGATGGATATGGGGTTACTCTATGACATTTTGCGAGGACGGATCGATTGTCCTATGCTTTTAAATAATATTAAGTTTAATGTACCCAAGAAACGCACTAGACACACTACACTATTTTGCACTTCATTTCACTCGACTAATTACGGTAGAAATGGTGTAATATCACGTTTACTCGACTCTTATAATGAACACTTTAATAGTGTGGACATATTCATCGGTTCTAAGGATAATTTCAAAAAACGAGTTTCGCTTAAATTACTATCATCATAGACTTTCTAAAATGTCAACATCATTGCATTGAATGGCTGGTTTTATAGGTTTCTAGATGAAATAAATCTTTTAATGTATTTATTCAATTAAATTTTTCTCCCATATTTTTATATATATTAGTATGTGTTATTTATTTCAGTTATTTATTATATTTCATATTTTACATCTATTCACCCATCTTTTCAAGGTTTACCAATCAGTTTTAATATTATGTATTGTTGTTAGCATATTCATCCACTCTTTGTATCTACCGTGGATAACTTTTATTGGCTACTCATGTAATCATAGTTTACTACATAGTTAAGAATTGCAGCTGTTGTTATCCCTAAAAAATAAAAATAAAATAAAATAAAATAAAATAAAATAACTGTCTAGAATACTTCATTAACATTTCTACTAGATCTTTTTAAATACTGTTTGTATTCACTCAAAATATCGGATAGGTATAATGGTTGACGAATTTAATGATTTCAAGTACTACTAAAATTGAAATTCTGTTTTTGACAGCAGTTTTTTTTCCTTCACAGTGTTACAATATTCAGATGGCCAGTACCTATTATTTTAAGTCGATAATTAAAACGAAAACATTTATTTAAAAAGTAGGCCTAATATTTAGGAGCATTGTCGGAGGAAAAAAATAGGAATGGAGTGGAGGAAAACGATTCCAACATAATAGTACAATATTATCGACCAGAAATCTTTTCTAACAGTTCTCTTTTCCCACTTTATATCGGGGCCTAGTGAGTTTTTTTCCTATGAACTCGCGCTAGATGGCGAGCGCCTTCGGCGGTGCGATTAGTGAAGATTTCAATGCGGGCCAATAGGAACGCCGGCAGTCACCGGGACAATCGAATGGATGTGAAATAAACCTACACGTATAACGTTTCCAAGTCATTTTTATGTCAAGTGATCGGTTGAATTAAACATTGTTGGTCTTCAGTATAACTTTTTAAATCATTATTTTTTGAAACAGTAACTCGTTGTTCAGAAAAAAAAATCCATTCATATAATTTGTACTTATTTTAATATTGTAACATGTTTTAAATTAATCGTCATAGGTTCAATACAACACTGGTGATGACTACATAAGCCTAGTACTACTGGTGTTTTTTGTTCAAACATCATCCAAGTCCTGCTCGCCATTTTGGGCAAATCATCACTCCACCTGGCCTGTAAGCGTCCTACATTACGTTGGCCTAGTAAACGTTGCCTTATTATTTTCAACTTCAATAGGTGTTAATTAACATTAAAAATAACCCTGGAATAAGTAAACAATTTGCTTTAAATAGCACAACGTCTAATTACTATATATTTAATATTTTACTATTTCGACTGCCGTGTTGGTCTAGTGCAGGCATTCCCAAACTATTTAGGGCAAGGGACCCCTTGTGTCTATCTGTATATGTAATAAACATGTTTATCCAAGTTTGATTAAAATAGCACAGATTCTGCCTAATTTAGTAATAGACAGTATTGGTTATGGGAGTTTATGTATTATAAAAATATCTTCAAACGGCTGAAAAAAAACCGGTAATCATAGTTAAAAACAACTTTTGAACAAATAACCAATAAAACAAAAAAAAAACGCAAATTATTTCACCCGTTTAGAAGCTTACAACACTGGTTAAGTCGTGGTACATCTTAACATGATTCTTATTTGTTTAATTTGAATACTGTACAACAAATAACTCATAAATACAAAATCATACTATAATTATTCTACGATGTATATCGTAGAATATTATAGTAAAAACAATTTCCTAAATAACTTTGCACACTTACAAAATACTGTTGACTGTATTCTTTAAATATTAACGTGCCGGTACCCGATGGTAAATGACTACCCTCACCTATGGGACACATGTAGCTTTATAATCACAAGTGCGCCTATTGAATCCTCCCCCCTCAGTATCAGGGAAAGGGTTGTTCTCCGGTAAGCTAACTCACAAGGTGAATTGCAAAGAAAGAATTGCTTAGCACCGGTTTCCTATAAGTCAGTGGTATATCTCGCCAATTTGTGACGAAGAATGGCTCTTCCACGTGAAGCAAACCTGTGGTTTACTGTCACGGTGAGATTGCATTAATGGCTGTGCATTGCAAAGCGTGATTACATTTTATTCTTATTTGACTGCACGGATGGCGATGTGGTTAAGCGGTCGCTACGGCGCTTACTACTACGCTGAGTGTAGTGGGTCCGATCCCCACATGGGACGACACTTTGTGTGATCTCCAAATTGTTGTTCTGAGTCGGGGTGTTCTGTGTCCGTTTCATGTATGTTGTCGTGTCGTCTTTAAAAGACGTTTACATATATTTTTAATTACACCGTATCTTCCATATATATGGTATATGCTAAAATGTAAGTTACAATAAGCTAAATATTTTAAACTAACTATTATCACATTAGATCACAGTTGTTAATAACTTGTTCAATTAATAAAAACAATTCATTTTGTAAAAAGAGTTTACGCCTATATGAAAATTAAAAGTAATTATTAAAAAGTTTACATTAACTTGAAAAGAAAATAACTACGATTAAATGAAATACCTATTGTGTTACTCACGAGTACCTAAATCGTGAGTAACACAATGGGCATATATGTAGATATTTTCAAATATATTATGAAAAAGAAACTGTTCAACAAAAAGACGATAAAATAGCGCCAAACAGCTTCGCCATTTTGAAATCCTTCAACACTTAAAACAATCGAGTTATAGAGACGTGTTCTATAGTCAATGCGTCCTCAACGTTCAGAGCTCAACGCTCAAATTATGCGTATTACCCACGCATAATTTGCACATATCACTATACGTTACATATAAAAAGTTGATTTGTGCTCTATAGTTCAAAGAAGTTCAGATTCTATTCTTGATTAAAATACAACCACGAGTCTACACTCCTTGCTGGATATATGGCTCTTAAAATCTAAAGCCTGGTTCTTTGCCTTCTCTACGTAAACAACCTTCCTCAGTTTGTTCTATTTGTCTGGTGGGCCTTGTCTATTGCCTGCCATCTCAAGTTTTCTTTAAAGCTGCGCAAACGTCGAAATTTCTATTCCTATTAATCCTCTTGATATTAAGCGATATAAAAATCATCATCAGCTGTGTTATTTGAGCGTTACCAACGTTACCAATAGAACTCTGGTAACTCAAATTTCCACTAGAAAACCAGCATTTTCCTGGTGCTGTAAGGTAACCAGTCTTCTGGAGTAGTTCTCGGTGGCTTCACTTCGAAAAGAAACCTTGATTATACAAAACTGTGCACTTCGATGCAGAGCTTGTTCTGGACTCAACGGGAGCCTTTTTTCAACATGAAATCCAACGAGTGAGTTCCAGACGACAGTTTTCATTCAGGAATCACGAATGAATCATTGTCTTCGTCATGAAACTTTGCTGTGAGGTTTTTAGCTTTAGAAATCAAGTACTCCTCTAAAAGCTGCATATTTTTGTACAAATAGAAGTTTGTACAGTTAATAACCGATGCACATTCTTGTATGACAAAATAGAAACTGGTTGAAGTGTTTTCTTTAAGCTCCTCATCGAATTTTGTATGATGGTCTGTACACCGCAACATGTAATCTGGGTCGTAGCGTCTAACCCAATATTTAAATTCAGGGATATTTTCTTTCTTAATTAAATATTCATAGTTATCTTCTTCAAGAAACATCTTTTCTATCAACATTGCTTCTTGTTTAAAGACACTCAAAGGTATATCGTCTTCTGAATCGCTCTCTTCTTTATTAATACATTTCTTTTTTGGTTCAGGATTTAACTCCGCAAATGTTGTACCACTTTCGCATTCTTCAATCTTTTTTACAAGTATTTCATCTAATTCTGGATCAGCTTTTACATCCAACATTATGTCTTTTACTTCTTCTTCATTCTCTTCTTTTATTTCGATGTATAACTGATCTACCTCATACTTTTTTTCGTCAAATTCAGGGTCGCCTTTCGGTATCAAATCGTTTAAATTCATATCTTCGTCATCTTCAAACAATTGTTTCTCAACATTCTCGTCAATTACTTGTGTTTTATCATTAGTGTCTGTTTTATCTGTCGCATTGAAGTCTGGTTCGTCTATTGCCCCTATTGTGCTATTTAGTTCACTTTGTGTTACTGGGTTCTCTAATTGATTTTCTGTAGTTGAGTGTCTTTCAACGACACTAATATCTAAATTAGCTTCAGATACAGAATCATTTGCTTCTAAATGCCCATTTTCAAGTTCAGTTTTTCGAATACATAAACTCATTTCTTGTTGTACTCTGGTAACAAAATCTGATTGTAAATGATTGTAATAGTTACTAAGTAACTCTTTTATAGCTGCTTTACTTTCGCACAAAGACTTTCTTGACCTTTTGACAGCAGTAGTTTCGCTATCCAATATTTTTTCTTTTCTTTTCCTAGGTTCTTTGACTTTATATTCAGAAGGTACTGGAATCTTATACTTACCACAAGCGAATAAAATTAATTCTTTGATTGTTTTCTCTCGATCAAAAGTGTCAGGATTAAATGCGGGAATTAAAGGTTCATCAGATATGTCACTTCTACGGTCAAAGTCTTCATCTGGATATTGATTATTTTGTATGTCCTCCTGTTGTTCATCACCTTCACGCTGTAATAAATCATTTCTTTCGCATTCCTCTTTATAAATTACATCTTCAAAATCGTCATCAAATATATTTACTTCTAAATTTTCTTCGGTAATGATTTCTTGTTGATTTACTTTTTCGCTTTCGTCGCTTTTAGCAATTTCATCTACTATGCTTAGTTCAGTTTGACTTTTATCTAAAACACTGTCAAGCTCATTTTCTCTTGATGTGTTTTCTGAGTCATAGCCGTGGTCGCTTTCTTTATCGTTAACTTTATTTTCTGGCTCTACATATGTCACGTGTTCTATAGTCGGTCGGTTGGTCTTTAACCAATTTCTATTCTCGCAGTTTTTTACATAAATCATGTTAGTTTTTGCTTTTTTCCTAACAATTGTTCCTAGTACAATCTTGTTGTCTATTTTTACACTATCATCACTTACACCTGTTACTATATTTTCATTATTTGTGTCTACCAATTCAAGATGTTCACAAACATATTTTATAGAATATTGTTTAAAATCTTCAGCAAGTTTTAGCTTAATTTCTGGATCCTGACAATGATCTATTATAACTTCTGTGTAATCAGACATAGGAGTCAGTGTTGGTATAAATAATTCTTTTGGAATAACGCCAACGCAATGATCCTGAGGTAACCTGCTAATGATTTCCATAGATATTTTGTCTGGTAGCTCTTCATTGTTTTTCGGCCTTGACTCCATTTGTTCTAAGTAGACATAATCATCAATATCTAAACCATTACTTTCAGCAATACGCGAGTTATATTTACTAAGAATAATTTTTCTAAAATTTATATAACTACACCACTCCTTAAACGAGAATAATCTATCACTTGGTTCTGAATACTTACCTATCCTGTATGACTTCTGGAGATCTTTTTCCTCATTAATTTTTTCAACAACATTTGATAATTTCATTTCATAATTATTATCTAGGCCGAAACATATTTTAATAGCTACTAGAACATAAGACATAACGGTGCCTTCATAATCTGGCGTTCTTATTAGACACTGTTTAGCGCTATTGTCTATGTCAAGGAAACTACATTTGCGAAAATGCATGAGAGAATAAATTAAGGGTTTAAGATCGTTAGGTAGACACAATTCAGTTAGAAAGTTGTCTACAAGTTTCTTTAAATCTGGTACTTTGGGAGTACCTAGGTTGAGTTTTCTTAATAAGGACATAGCCAATGCACGCAGTTGGTGTTGTGTACATAGTTTGCTCCGAACAAAATTGAGCCATTCTGGAATTTTCTTAACATTTATTTCCTGAGGTACAAATCTATTTGGATTAGAAATATCCAATTCCTTTTCTTTGACAAACCTGTACAAATCACAAAGCTGAATTTCACTTTCATCTAGATTTAACGCAAGGTACAACATGGCGATTATAAGTCCTTTAGATAAAAACTTGATGTCTCTTCTGGACCCACTTGTAATGTCACATTTATTTCCTTTCACGGTTGTATCTTTTTCTAATTCTTCTGCTTCTGGAATGCTATCTTCTTCTGCCATAAAGCTTGGTAAACCAGTTTTATTTCTGTCATCGCAAGTTGTTTTGTTCATCCTGAAAACAAAGGAAAAATATTTAGAAATAGAAAACTTTATTTAAAGAGACTTAATTTTACGAGTGGTTTCCTCCTCTTAAGTTGCATACCGTGTAAAAGGTTGCGAGGGGTATACCAGCTAAATCCCTCTATAACCTGCTTAAAGAACTTGAATTGCCAAAAGCTTCAGTAAGCTTCAGACAGTGGAAGTGAGCGCTGACGCATACTCCCTAAACCTACTCCTGGGTTGTAAGTCCCAAGCGCTGTCGCAGTCGCATGTGTAGCCTCCAACTAGTTGGAGGCCCGCACGGTGAATCCATGGGAGGCTAAACTCAAAACTCAAAATATCTTTATCTCATAAAAAATTTAAAAGTGTTTGAAATCGCATTTTATGTAGACTCTAAAGTCATAGATCAACACACACAAAAGCAACAATCTCTGTTGTGTCAAATAGTAAGCAAATAAATTTAACAAAAATCAAACCCATGCAAAATCTATGATATGCCTGTGCCTATCTATAACCGCCCGTTTCCAAGGGGTTGAGCCTTATGAGAAGAAAGAAACAGGTCTCTATGCTAAACGCAGTAAACCGCTCAGTTAGTGACGGTCTAACATGGGAGCCTCTAAAGTTTATGTAATTTTCTACAGACATATTCAGAAAGCTTCGATGAGCCACTATTGTTGCCAATTGTCGTTAATAGTTACGACTTGGCCAAAAGGAGGTTTGTGCATCTAAACATTTTTTTCTAAATATTTCTTTCTTATAGGGCAGATCAGCCTTCATTTCTTTCTGTTATCTATCAGACAGGATTTTGGCTAGGCTAGGGGGAGTCTCTCTACTTCTGCCTTTAAACAAACCCAGACACAGTAAACTCGCCTATTTATATATTTTTTACTATATACTTGCAAAAAGATCCACAATTCCTATTTTATCATCAATCATCAACAACCTTTAATAGTCCACTGCTGGACATAGGCCTCTCCTAACATAGACCTCCTTTCTAAGACGACGACCGAATGGCGTAGTAATTTGTATAACGGACTGCTATTCCAAAGGTTGTGGGTAGAATATTATTATTATTAAGAGATATTTATTCTAATAATATTGAGCTCAAAACGTGTTTAGTTGAATGAGCTCAAGAACTACTGGTTTGAATTTGAAAATTCTTTTAGTTTTGTATAGCCTATAAATCTAAGAAGGCTCTATATATACATAACATCACGCAATAAGAGCTGAGCATCAATGTAAAGTGTTGCAAAATGGTAAATTTATTCCTTTTGAGAGACACGGTTGACGTTGTGCGAGTGTTACGGTGACATAAAAAGATATAATAACAACACCATCACTAAACCATCAAACTACTACTAATCTTGTATATTTTCATTACAACCTTTTTTTTAAGTGTATTTTCAATCAATCCACTCTACAATCAACAAAAGTTAAATATATTGATTAATCTTACATTAGTTCAGATTTGTTTTGGTATTTCTTCATGTATCTAGTCCATATCCATAACAGCTTTAACTTGAAGGTGGGTTTTGCGCCAAGAGACACCAGTTCATCAGCCAGACCCAAAATTATGAAGTTAAATGCGTGCCACTTATACCATTCTCCGCTCACTGAAATTTGTGAAAATTATAAACCTTTTGGTTTGATTTTAAAAATTTATTGATAATTTTGAACTACTGATATGTGCATGATAAAAAACATGAATGAGAATAATAATAACTTCACACATCTCACACACAGCCATCTGATGCCAAACTATGCAGAGCTTGTGCTATGGTAACCAGACTGCTGATAAACATACTTATATATTTCTAAATACATACATATTCCGTGTGGACACATAGTCCGTGTGGTGACGGATTAAGAATACAAATTGTCACCACCCCAACTCATCCCGTAGGTGTCCTAAGAGCTGACTAAGGGAGCAAACTAAGCAGGACAACAGCACTGCAAAGAGAAGGAAAACTTGAAACAAACCCTATAACAACCCGTCTGGCCAGTGTGGTATAGTAGGCCAAAACCTCCTTTCTAAGGAGAGGCCTATGTCCAGCAGTGGACTAGTATAGGCTGTTGATGATGATACATATTATAAATAAATTACACCCAGATACAGAACACATGATCATGCTCATTACATCAATCTCAATGAGGATGTCCCGCAGTTTGCGTGCCTGTTTGGGATAAGCCTCCTTCAACTTTTTCCATTGGATAGTAACATATTTTTAAACTTACAAATTGATATTTTTTACTGTATTCCAGTATAAAATAGATGTGTAACCTTGTGTAAGTAAACTGCAAGTTCATTTGGGACTTTCATCAATCATCATATAATGCCTATAATGCAACAGCCTATAATGGTCCACTACTGGACATAGGCCTCTCCTTAGAAAGGAGGTTTATAAGGGACTTTTTTTTAATAATTTGTTGGGCATATTATAACTCAGCATTAACTAATCTCACTGAAATCTGAATTGGTAACTTTGCAGATGGAGTTTACATAAAATAAGACATTCAGATCTAAAAAGTTGTAAAATGTAGAGTTAACAAAACATGTTTTGTACTTTTATTGGTTAAGATTTGTTAAGAGCGAGATTTATGTTCACTAACTTACTTTCGATTCCATCCTTTTTAAGGTGAACGATTTTTCTTCGACTAGACTGAGCGAAAGTCCCATCCCCTAAGGCTTTCTCTTCTAAAATAGTTTCTCTAACGTTTGTATTTTGTGTACCGCATTCAATACAATAATAAAATCCGTCTATTAACTTTGAATCGGTCCCGCCGCAGACATTACAGGGATCAGGCTCGACTTCCATTCTTTCACTTTTTTAATAACTCAAAGGCAGGCAAAGAGGCTTAAATTTACAATAACAAAAACACATGGTCTCTACATAATCTACATCTATATATGACTATATCACTATCTCATTTTTGTCCAACCGGTGTTGCCAGACCACAGTTTATGAATCCAACGCCCCAATGCGCACGAGCCTCATGAATAATTATGATAAAAGTGCGTCTTTGTTTATCAATTGTCATTTTCTTTCAGTAATTTAAAGAGTTGTCATTTACGTGTTAAATCTGTAGGCTATTCTAAAAACATTAGTTAATTAATACGACCTATTTTTTCGAGATATCTATTTAACTAATACGGTAGGTACAGTATGTCAGTAACGTGAATACATTATGTGTTTAGATAACATTATCTAAACACATAATGTATACAAGTAGAGTATAGTATGAGTATATTTGTATAGTATTCAAAACAACCTTAAAGGATTTTTCTATGTTTGATATGGAATGCTTTAAAATAATATATTTTAAACAAATCTTCTTGGTTAGTTCTTGAAGTGAAAGTTTTTACTATAAAAGATAACTGAGAAGGAAAGCAGTCGTTCAGTATTGTTTCCGATCGCAGCACATCTTTTTTATAAAACTCATATTTTAAATTTAAAAATATTTAACACCAAGTCTAACTTATTCGTCATTTCGAAACACTTTTTGCCCCGCACAACCAATCAGTGGAACGGGTTATCGTCTGCAGTATTTCCGGACCGATACGACTTTCAAACCTTCAAGAAAAGAGCGTACTCCATCGACTACGCGTTTGTGACTACTGAGTTGCAGACGTTTACCCATAAACGTCTGCAACTCGATGGTCATTTCCATCAGGTGACGCGTCTGCTCGTCTGCCCCCTCTAACATAAAAGAAATCCACTGAGTAACATTGAGTTACCGACACAAAAATATTTTTAAAACGTGATAAGTTTGATCTTGTATGTATTGTACAAAAACAAACCTATTAATCCGTATTGTAGGTTTGGCAACTCTAAGGACTGCTGTCATAGATGTTAATTTGACATTGTCAAACTGATGTTGCCATTATTGTAAAAGGATAAGAGATTTTTTAAATGGGTTGTTAAAGTTCTCATTTAGTTATTAGATTCTACTAAAATGAATAAATAGTAGTTTTTAGTACTATGGTGCATAGAAATAAAAGACTCTTTTAAGAAATCCCACTGTTTTAATGGTCAAATCCAATTTTTAAGAAAAGAGCCATTATTATTCTAGCAATATTGTAAAACAAAATTGACATATAAATTATTACAATTATAATAATATTACTACTAATTTAGTGTTTCTTTTCAATCTCAATTAAAAAAGATTTTCCTAAATTGAAATTAATCTTGACTATCAACTTCTTGACCTAATGTCACTAGCAAAATGTCATCAGTCATCAGACATGACCTACGCTCAATAGGACGATAGGAGGACGATAAAGTCACCAATCCTTCATCTTTCGAGAATCACGTCAGAGACACAAAGAAGATATTAAACATTGGGAGGGAGAAGGAATAGGCTGCTAATATTCCTACATATTTTACAGTCATTCAAACACTTTCTCTTTATATTTTAACAGGTAATGCACTACTTAACCACTGCCAAACTGTCAGTCAAAAGATTTGGACACAAAAGTCAGAGATTTATCTAACATATTTTTGTAGATACACATAAGCAAATGTTACTTTTCGTTTTATCACTTCCTTCGTTTTTTTCATAAGAAAAAGTATTTTAATCAATAAAATCTAATTCGTGCTGATTTGTTTTGATGGGTTATTTAAAGAGTGAAAGAAGAGGATTATAGCATTGTATAAAAGATATTTATTAATTTGTGTCCTAAATAGCAAAAATCACATCACAGGTGTTAGTTAAGGTTAAAAAAAAGGTTTTAATATAAAATATTTAAACGAATTTTATGTTGGTAATAAATTCATTGGTAGGTTTCTGGAAAATAGCATGGCATCCGGACAGACAACACTGTAAAAGTAGTAATTTTCGTAGCGTATTGCCGTCCGTCATCAATAACTCTCGTAATTCGGGCGTGTGCTCCATTTACGAATATATTGAAAGAAACTCACCATTTACTGTTTTCGCCGGTGCATATGAGCGTTCGCGCCGTGGTATCCTGCTAACAAACTGACATGCTATCGTTGTTTCCACCACACCCTTGGGTTTCGTGAGTCGTGGACGTGATCTGTCGCGTGTTTATCGCCGACGGCCGTACTTGTGTCTGTTGTCTCACTTGGATTGTGTTAATCTGTGTACTGTGTAGTGATATGTGTAAAAGTTAGCCGGCTAAATCGTTGCATCGTAAAACGCGGGACACATTGATGGGCAGTGTCGTGTTCGTGAGGGACGCGGCAGTGAGGCCGCACCGGCGGGGTCTTGCTTCGTGGAGGGTCTACAATATAATCAGCCACACTGGAACTGATGGAATTAGAGAATATCGTCGCGAACACTGTCTACTTGAAAGCCAGAGAGGGTAGGTGTCCTTTCAGTGATATGTTATGCTTCTTATATTTTAGTTCAGCTGACACTATCAACATCAAAGATGTATGCATCAGTATGTTTTTTTTATTAGTGTTGACTACTTTACAGTTTGCTTTGTGTTTCTCTTGTATTTGGCTCTGTATATGTATGTTTTTAAATTGATTTCAGTTTGCCCTATAAATAATGCTAATATTTTAAGCTATAATAAATTAAATCAGTTTTTTTTCATTAGTAGTAAGTTCTTATAAGGAAACAAGGTGCAATAAATTCTTCTTAATGTTATTAGATTATGTAGAGACACCAGGTGGTGGTTAAGAGATTATACTTAGAGTCTAAGCAGTATGTGTGATATTATATGAAACCAATCAAATAAAAGAAATTTTAACATATTTTTTGTTATATAAAGTATGTACACCGAAGTCTAGACTGGTAGTATTGACGAAAGTATTAAATGCTTAAGTGTATAACTGTGTGATATATTTTAACGTAAAAACCATCACCGTTCATGGGCAGCAGTAGTCGCTTTCCATCAGGTGATGAGTCTGCTCATTTGCCCCCTATTCCATAAAAAAAAACTTTTTTGCTATCTAAACAGAAATTACGTATATAGTCCAACATAATGATAACTGTGAGAACTAAATAATACACATACATCTTCATGTAACACGTTCATCTCGTTCCTGTAAATTTATTTTTTTACCAAATTAGTACTATTATAAGGAATTTTGAGCTGAAGTTGTCAATTTTTTTGATGGATTATTAATCTTGTCTAATTCTTTGTGAGTGTTTGACTCATAGACCAAAGGCTATGAGATTTTATTCTGGCTATTAGTAGAATGTTAGTTCAGAAACTCTTAAGGAAAGAGTGTAATCCCACATAAAAGGCTGGCAACGCATTTGTGACTCCTGAGTAGCAGATGTTTATGGGTGGCGATGATCATATTCCATCAGGTCACCGGTCTGCTCGCACAGTAAAACACAATCACAATGTCTCACATAGAACCTGAAGTACAACAGGGCGAAAGCGGGACCTATCCTGCCCTTAAACTGTTCAAAATAACAAACAGACACACACACACATACATATAAACACCATTCATAATGTGACATTATGCAGCATATCTCTAAATGTTCTACTTTAAACTACAAAATAAAAATAAATAAATAAAGATAATTATTTTTAGATAGCGATAGCAATCTTAACAGATTTGTTATCTGTTTATTACATTTTATTTTATTTAAACAAGCATAAATTACAGAGGCTTGTAATGTTGAATATTATAGCCAAACAAAAATGGTATTAATTAGGATGTCCGTTGTTTCTAATTATTATTTACATTCTGTATCTTGTATGGATGTTTCATTGATTAATTAAATTTTTCATTTACATTATATTATAGTTTATTATTTTGTTTAGAGACAAGTTTAGTTTAAAAACTGAATCCATCTAAGCATTAACTCTAAAAATTTGAGCAGCGTGAATGATAAAAAAAATAGTCCTATATTTATTAAAGATATATTTTAGGGATGCCTTACTGTCTTTGGAAATCTACAAGGACCTTTTATTAAGAGGTGGAGCTGCTGTGGGTCGAAATCTGACACCATCACGTAAAATAATCACATGAATGTATTACTTTAATAAATATGAATAGAAGTTTTATATATGCGCACTCTTGTAATCCAGCCACTCTGAAGTCGGGAATTGTGAGATGGCTTAAGGTTGGAAAGCCTGTAGCTTTGTTGCTGATTTTGACTGAACGTCCACTAAGCTTGGTGTTAATATTCATCCTGCCGAGAAGTCGGAGGGACACAAGTTGACTATGGAGAGGGAAACTGGGCCTGGTGTGAAACACTAGGTTTTTTATTGAAATTTTCAATTTGCGGATCAAGTATTCAATATTACAATTAGTCATAACAAATTCACAGATCAGTAGGTCTAGTGGTTAGTGATCCTAACTGCTAAACCAGAGGTTCAATTCCCACCCAGGAGAAATAGAGAAATTTTGTTCTTGTTTTGTTTTTGTCTGGGTGTAATTTATGTAAAGTATGTACACATGTATTTAAAAATATACTTAGGTATATATTTATAATTTGGAATCAGACGGCCGCTTGTGAGATGTGTGAGTTTATTATTATTGTGACACAAGCGATTAGCCCCGGCTTCGCACGGGTGCAATGTAGATACTACTTACCATTAATTTGGTGTCAGAATGGAGTAATTAATTATAATATTATTATGATAAGACTATCTACAGGACATCTTTATATGCAATATTAATAGGCCCGCTCCTTTCCCGTCGTCCGCTGCCACCTGGGACGAAAGTAACGGCCCGACGCGGTGATGGCCGCTTTGCCCCCCGCAATTTTAATCTCTGATATTTAGTAAATAGTAGTCATTGAGTTTAATGATATGCTGTTAAAGGCATTTTCGATCCACATTAAAAGCATTAAAATTAATACTACATTAAAATGGTTACTGTGAGTT